CCAGGGCCCCCCTCGCCGCACGCCCCCCCCACTGGGCCTGTGCAAGGGAGGGGCGGCCCAAACCTCTGGGCGACCCAGCTGGGAGTCTTGGCTGTCCCTGGGCCTGGAGTGAGCACCCTCCCCCCATCCCACTCCCCCGGGGACTTACATCCATGACGATCACTCCGACGGTTGATCTTCCCACCCCGAACTGCTGGGCCTTCGAGCGGTAGCTGTCCAGTGTGGCCAGCTTCCAGAGTGCGATGGCGACCCTCTTCTTCACAGGGATGGGTGCCCGCAGCTGGGTGGTGGCTCTCTGCAGCACGGGGGTGAGCCAGGTGCACAGCTTCAGAAAGGTCTGCTTTCTCATTCGGAAATTCCGGATCCACTGGTGGTCGTCCCATCGTCCGAAGACCACCCGGTCCCACCAGTTGGTGCTGATGTCCAAACTCCAGTCGGGCTGGTCTACGGTCGGGTGCTGATGCCACATGGTTGCCACGGCCTCCCTGGTGAGGGAGTCCAAGGCGATCTCTGCCTCCTGGTCCATGAACAGCATGGCACCAGCCTGCAGCATGAGCTGAAGCCACCTGAACAGCCCCAACAGGGGCCCGACCAGGCACATGGCCACCCGTGGCTCCATAGCAGACAGAGCAGGGCAGAAAAAAAAAACCGCAGGCAAAAGCAGTTGGGGGCCAAAGGGTGGTGTTCCCAAAAGTCAGAGGGCAACCACAGACCCTGCCAAGGTTATCTGTCCCTGGCAGAGGCCCCAAGGCACGGGAGCAGGAGACCAATGGCTGCCCTGCGAGACCCCTTTAACCACGTGTCTGAACGGCGCTCTGGCCCCGCCCCCGGAAAGGCCTGGTGGCCTTTGCCCTCTTCAAAATGGCTCTGGGCTTCTGATTTTCCGGAAAAGTGTTCCGCCAATGTAGATGCGCTTTTCCGGAAAAACTGAAAACTGAATAGTATTCCGTTTTAAGTATTTCCGGGAAAAGGTACCAGTGTAGACGTAGCCTAGGGGTGTGTCTAGACTACAGGGTTTTGTCGACAAAAGTGGACTTTTGTAGAAAAAATTATACCTGTGCCTACACTACCGTTGAGTTTTGTCGACATAATGTCAACAGAACTCAGCAGTTTTGTGATGGCTGTAAACCTCATTCTATGAGAAATAATGTCTTTTGTCAACAGAGTTCTGTTGACAGAAGGCATTATTGCATCTACACTGTCCTTTGTGTCTACATTGTCATGTAGACAAAGTGGCTTGCTTTGTCGACAGAACTGGATGTAGTCTAGATGTTCTTTGTCGACAGAAGCTTTGTCAACAGTATCTGTCGACAAAGCCTCTGTCGACAAAAGCCTGTAATCTAGATGTACCCTATGGTCGAGAGAGAGAGAGAGAGTGTATATGGGGCTAGATAGATAGATAGGGTATATGGGGATAGCTAGCTAGAGATAGAGATAGAGATAGAGATAGAGATAGAGATAGAGATAGAGATAGAGATAGAGATAGAGATAGAGATAGAGATAGAGATAGAGATAGAGATAGAGATAGAGATAGAGATAGAGATAGAGATAGAGATAGAGATAGAGATAGAGATAGAGATAGAGATAGAGATAGAGATAGAGATAGAGATAGAGATAGAGATAGAGATAGAGATAGAGATAGAGATAGAGATAGAGATAGAGATAGAGATAGAGATAGAGATAGAGATAGAGATAGAGATAGAGATAGAGATAGAGATAGAGATAGAGATAGAGATAGAGATAGAGATAGAGATAGAGATAGAGATAGAGATAGAGATAGAGATAGAGATAGAGATAGAGATAGAGATAGAGATAGAGATAGAGATAGAGATAGAGATAGAGATAGAGATAGAGATAGAGATAGAGATAGAGATAGAGATAGAGATAGAGATAGAGATAGAGATAGAGATAGAGATAGAGATAGAGATAGAGATAGAGATAGAGATAGAGATAGAGATAGAGATAGAGATAGAGATAGAGATAGAGATAGAGATAGAGATAGAGATAGAGATAGAGATAGAGATAGAGATAGAGATAGAGATAGAGATAGAGATAGAGATAGAGATAGAGATAGAGATAGAGATAGAGATAGAGATAGAGATAGAGATAGAGATAGAGATAGAGATAGAGATAGAGATAGAGATAGAGATAGAGATAGAGATAGAGATAGAGATAGAGATAGAGATAGAGATAGAGATAGAGATAGAGATAGAGATAGAGATAGAGATAGAGATAGAGATAGAGATAGAGATAGAGATAGAGATAGAGATATTTGCCTCTGTAATTTCTATCCCAATGCATCTGATGATAGGATGAAGTGGATTTTACCCATGGAAACTGATTCCTAAATAATTCTGTTACTTTTGAAGGTGCCACAGGATTCCTCACTGTTTCCAAAATACCTGTTTGAGTCTTTCCAAGAAGTCCAGAAAGAACAAACTCCCATTCTGTCTTCCAGCAGAGTAGAGCTGAGGGGAAGGACAGGGGAGTAGAAGAATGATTGTATGTAATTTATGTCCATAACCTGTCACATGTACATGGCTAAAGCAACTTGCACATGCATATGGATATTAGCTGAAAATGAGTGTGTGCATAGTCACCCATTCCTAATGCTATCCCCTCCCCAATCCAGGTGAAATAACTTCCTTATGTCAGTGTGCCATTTACCTAATAGCTATAGAGCAGGGTGGGAAACGTCAGGGCCAGTGGCCAGATGTGCTCCCTCCTTCTCTCCTCCAGCTTGCCTGGATGCGACCCCCGAGGCTCAGGGCTCCCCCTCCCAGTATTGTAGTATCTGTGCCCTAATGCAGAACTGGAGCACACAAAATCTACCAGCCTGGGTCCCATTAAGCTCTGGTGTGTGAGGGAAATGCGGGGAGTGTCTGTCTTCTTCTCAGTCAGGGACCACGTCAGTGAGACTTTGGGAAGGTTTTGGCTTCTCACGTGTGTGGCCCCCAGCTGATTTTTCTGTGGGTCAGTGGCCCCCAGCCAAAAAAAGTTCCTCACCCCTGCTATAGATCCTTGCTTCCAGGGAGGATGCAGGTTCTAGGAGGATGAAGAGAAGCTAGTAGGATGATTGACATCTCTGGATTCAGTCCACATTAGCCAAGCAAAACACTTCAACTTTTCTTGGAAGAAATCCTGAGGGTCAGAGTGTATCACCAGGAGTGTTTGGTAAGGGAAAATGAACAGAGTTTGGTCCTTATTCGATTTACACATGTAAATCTGGAGTGATGTAGGTGAAGTCAACATTTTCATTCATTTTTGAGAAATGAACACTGAGGGTACATCTAGACTACAGGCTTTTGTCGACAGAGTCTTTGTCGACAGATACTGTCGACAAAGCCTCTGGAGGCAAAGAGCTTCTAGACTACATCCAGTTCTGTCGACAAAGCAAGCCACTTTGTTGACATGAGAGTGTAGACGCAAAGGACAATGTAGATGCAATAATGCCTTCTGGTGACAACTCTGTTGACAAAAGGCGTTATTCCTTGTAGAATGAGGTTTATCGCTGTTGACAAAACCGCCAAGTTCTGTCGACGTTATGTCAACAGAACTCGGCGGTAGTGTAGACGAAGGTATAGTTTTGTTGATAAAAGTCCACTTTTGTTGACAAAACCCTGTATTCTAGACACACTCACAATGTATCCCAATGGGCCACACACAGAAGCTTTGAAGGTCCATTGTATATTCACATAGTTCTCAAGTAATCTGTGGAACTCCCACCAACAATATGTCAACTGGGCCAAGAGCTTAGCAGTAGTCAGAGAGGGACAGGTTGTTTAGACGGGTAACCAGAATATCCAATGTTAACAGTGAAGATTTTTTTAAAGTCTTGGAAATGTTCTAAAACTTCCTGATTTACACCACAGACTATATCTAACTTGTGACTCTCAGGGAGAAATTTCCCCGAGATGAAGGGCTGCTTTCAACTTCCTCAACAGCATTTTGTACTGGCCTCTGGATACTGGGCTATATGGACTACAGGTCTGATCCTGTCAGGCAGTGCCTATACTTGAGCCTGTGGTAGAAATCCAAGACTATGTTTCTGTTGATCTTCCTGGAACTTCTGAACATCTCTCAACCTGCACTAAGAATAGAATGATGTCTTGCTAAATATCACCCAACCACCTGTTCTTTTTCCTTTCAGGAAAGAAAATTCAAGACTGCTCACACCTGCCCAGTACATTATGACAGCCATCAATGACACACAATTCAGCTCTGCAGTGTTCCTCCTCACTGGGATAGCTGGGCACGAAGACATCCATATCTGGCTCTCTATTCCCTTCTGTTTAGTGTACGCTATCTCGATAGTAGGAAATTCAGTCATTCTCTTCATCATAAAAACAGATTCAAGCCTCCATGAGCCCATGTACATTTTCCTTTCCATGTTGGCCCTCACAGACCTTGGCTTATTAATAGCCACCATGCCGACGATCCTGGGAATATTCTTGTTTAACTCTAGGGAGATTAGTCTCCATGCCTGCTTGGCCCAGCTGTTCTTCATCCACTCTCTTTCCAAAATAGAATCCTCTGTGCTGTTGTTGATGGCCATTGATCGCTTTGTTGCAATCAGTAACCCATTGAAATACACTTCCATCTTAACTCTGCCAAGAATAGCTATAATGGGACTAGTGTGTGTGCTAAGAGGGGTGGCTGTAATGGTACCACTCCCCATTCTTCTGAAACAGTTCCAATACTGTCAATCTAATGTCCTCTCCCATTCCTACTGCCTGCATCAGGACATCATGAAGTTGGCTTGTTCAGACATCACAGTCAACAGCATCTATGGCTTATGTGTTAAAGTCTTTACAGTAGGGTTGGATTCATTTCTCATCTTTGTGTCTTATGTGATGATCCTCAAAACTGTGCTGAGCATCGCATCCCGCACGGAATCCCTCAAGGCCCTAAACACCTGTGTCTCCCACCTCTGCGCCGTCCTGCTCTTCTACACATCAGATATCGGCCTAACGTTGCTACACAGATTTGGGGACAGCTCTTCTCACTTGCTTCAGATTCTTCTGGGCTACATCTATTTTCTGATCCCACCCTTGATAAATCCCATCGTGTACAGTGTGAAAAGCAAACACCTGCGTGGGAGAATAATCAAGGCATTTGTCAAGCGAGGGTCAGTTCATTGTTGATCCTCAGGGCTGGTGACATGGGATCAAAAAAACCAAACCAAAACAAAGAAAAACCCCAAGCAATGGCCATGGCTACATATTCTGACCTGGATTTTCTTCTCCTCCCTTTGCCCCATCTCTTCCCCTGTTGTATTCACTCCCTCTGGGGCATGTGGCATTGGCAGACAGGGCACTGGGGTAGGTGGACCTTTGGTCTGACCCACTATAAGTAGGTGGACCTTTGGTTTGACCCACTATGGTCGTTCTAATGTTCTCATGGTCCCCCAAGACCTCACCCTTACTACTTCCTTTTATCCTAGACTCTGCCACTCTGCAGCCTGGAAACCAGAGCTAGGTCATGGTAAGCGCTGCCCAGAGAGCTAAAGCCACTATGAAGAGCCCCAAATCCTCCCCATTCCCTCCCCACTAGGATGTACAGCCCAAGGAATGTAGAGAATCTGGAGAGCTCCAAGGGAGCGGGGCAGCTCTTACCATGTACCAACCTTGGCCTGCCTGGGAGGCTGAAGTTGGGGGAAAGTTGAGGAGCAGTGACTAGGATTTAGTGGGAAGAGAGGGGGATGACGGAGCAGCTCTTACCATGTACCAATCTTGGCCTGCCTGAGAGGCTGAAGTTGGGGGAAAGTTGAGGAGCAGACTAGGATTTAGTGGGAAGAGAGGGGGATGTTCTAAGATGGGAGCATGGGATGTTGTGAGATTCCCCTCAAGACAGGCAAAGACCTCGTGTGGAAGGTAAAGAAACAATAAATACAATTTCACTCTGACAATCCCGATTCTTATTGGTCAGCGTCTGTCTTTGTTGAGTGCCTATCAGCATTCCGATGTGCATCTTGTTCCACCTGCATCCTAGAATATGATCCATGCAATCCAATGATTCAAAGAGCCATTGAATTTAGGGCCAGAATGACCCATTAGATCACGTAGTCCAGAGGTTCTCCAACTGGGGGTGATGCAGAGTGTATGTGGACGGTGAGGTGGGCCTGAGAAGCTGTAGGGGAAAGAAAACCTTCCTGTTCACATTTAGCCACAGCAATGAGTGACTAGCCAAGCTGATTCCTCCAGACAGATCTGGTCTCCAAACAGCATTGTGCCTTTGTCGCTAAGTGGTGCTGTGAATTCTGACTGTTTTTTGTCAAGGCTGCAGCACCGTATAACAAGTTGTTTCCATCTGAAAGTGAATCCATTTGATGTGGCACCATGTGCGTGTTTCATCCTCAGCAGGCACCACAATCTCCATTTTGCTTTTTGCTTTTATTGCAGCGGGTCATTATTTTATTCGTACAACAGAAAAAAAAACCAACCCTCAACTGATTCAAGTGACAGCATGGCCCCTCGCATAAATCAGTTTATGCCTTTGTGTGGTGGGGTAGGGATAAACTATTAGGCCATGTCTTCACTAAATGGACGCTACCACAATCGATCTTCTGGAGTTCGATGTAGTGAGTCTAGTTAAGATACTCTTCATCAAACTCAGAGGGCGCCCCCATTGGTGGCTGATACTCCTGCTTCTGTGAAGAGTAAAGGAAACAAACACTCCCATATGCCTCCTTCTGTGGGGATGGTGGGGAAACTCAAAACTATGCCTCCTTCTGTGGGGATGGCGGGGAAACTCGAAACAAGGTATGTTGACTCCAGCTACATAATTAACGTAGCTGGGGCTGTGTATCTTGATTCTCCTTCCATTTTAGTGAAGACCTGGCCTGGGAGACAAAAAGAAGGAGTATTGCATCATATAAATTTGAGAACCACTGACCTAGTCTGACCTCCTGGACATCACAGGATGCAGAATTTCATCCCGTTATCTAGGTATTGAGCTCAATGACTTCTTTTTGACTACTGCACAACTTTTGTTCCTCTCACGAGTCTCTTTCAGGAAGTCATCTCATGTTAGTTTGTAGATAGCAGGAGAATTCACCACCTCCCTTGGGAATTTATTTCAGGGGTTGAGTGCCCCTGCTGTTAAAAACTTGTGCCTCGTTTCCAAATTTTCTGTGTCTAGTTTCAGTTTCATCTTGGGAATTTATTCCAGGGGTTGAGTGCCCTTGCTGTTAAAAACTTGTGCCTCGTTTTCAAATTTTCTGTGTCTAGTTTCAGTTTCCAGACATTGCCTCTTGTTGGTAAATTCAAGAGTCCCTTAGTAGCTTGTCTTTTGTCTCTGTGAAAATGCTTGTGCACGGTTATCCAGTCAGCTCTCAGTCTTCCTTTTTGTACATGGAGCAGGCTCAGCCCTTGAAGTCTTCCAATGTCAGGCATGTTCTCAAGACCTTCAGTCATTTTTGTGACTCTCCTGTTTTTCACTATGGGCACCAAACCTGGATGCAGCGTTGTTCTCACCAGCTCCATCCATGGAAGTGAGATCCTCTCCTCTAGTTCAACTCACTACCCGTATGTATCCAGCAAAGGCCATGTTGGAAACAACAGAAGAGGAGAAAGCCCTGGGGGTATGAATCACATCCAGGGTGACTCTGAGCCATGATGTGATGTGGCCGTGAACAAGGCGCATGAGATCTTAGGATGTGTCAGGCACCAGTAAAAATTTCCAGAGTGCAACTGTGCACATTTCTGATCACTCACATTCTAGAAAGATGACTTCAGGCTGGAACAGGTGCAGAGAAGGAGCGCTAAGATGGGCAGGGCACTGGAGGGCCCCAGCTACAAATAGACTGAAACACTTTAGGCTGTGTCTAGACTGGCAAGTTTTTCGGCAAAATCATCTGCTTTTGTGGAAAATCTTGCCAGCTGTCTACACAGGCCACTTGACTTTCCGCAAGAACACTGACGATCTCGTGTAAGATAGTCAGTGTTCTTGCGGAAATACTGTGCTGCTCCCGTTTGGGCAAAAGCCCTCTTGCGGAAATGAATTGCGCAAGAGGGACAGAGTAGACAGCACAGTGCTGTTTTCTGCAAAAAAGCCCCGATGGCTAAAATGGCAATCGGGGCTTTTTTGCGGAAAACTGCTTCTAAATTGGCACGGACGCTTTTCTGCAAAAAGTGCTTTTGCAGAAAAGCATCCGTGCCAATCTAGACGCGCTTTTCTGAAAATGCTTTTAACTGAAAACTTTTCAGTTGAAAGCATTTCCGGAAATTCATGCCAGTGTAGACGTAGCCTTTCTCTGGTTCAGCCTAGCCCCAGGCAGGCTGAGCAGGGATTGACTTTCTTGATCAATACAGCAGGGGAGTAAACAGAAGGGAGGAGAAGAGCCCCTGAAGGTAAAGGCTGGAGTTGGCAGAAGAACAAGTGGTGAGAAACAGGCAGTAGTAAACTGAGGCTGGCAAAGAGAAGAAGGTTTCTAACCATCTGTACAGAAAGGTCCTGGAAAAGCTGCCCAATTTGGGGCAAACAACACAACTCATTTTAAGATGGAGATTGACAGGTTCACACTCTGGACAATATGCTGGGGTCACCTGCCATAGCAGGCTACTAGGCTCACTGACCCAGGAGGTCCCTTCTATGACTAGGTAGGTGCCTATTGGTTACATTAGCCCATTTTGCATCCCACTAGGATCTCAAGTGGAGTTGCTTGCCCACTATGACCCTGCTCTGGGATCTGGCTGATGAGTTTCTGTGACAGACCGGGCCGAGTCTGGGCATAGCTGAGGGCGTCCGCTCAGGGTGAATTGCTCAAATCCGGGGCTCCTTACAGCCCCCAGACTGGTGCCCTCTCCAAACAGGCCACAAACCAGTCCCACAGAGCGCTTCAGCCGCCTGCCTGAAGCCTCACGAGCAAAACCCCTCCGAGACCCCAGCAATATCCATCAAAAGTGGTAGTGTAGACTGGCACATGACCATACATTGCTAACATTTCTGACCATTAAAGAACCTATGCCGCTGTTTTTCAATATTAGAGGTATAAGTCCCAGTGCCCTAGTCATATTTGAATTTAGGTGTACTCCCCTTGGATTTGCAGTCAGATATGGTATTTTTCTTCTCTTCTCTTCCTAAAGTGAGGAGTTATAGTAAAGTGCACAGTTGAACAGATGCCATATTTCACCCTATAGATGTCTCCACTTAGAGAGAAGTAATTCCTATAGGTAGCTTGACTAAGGGTTTATAAGTGCTTTCAGATCCATTTGGATGAATGGTGTGGTATACACTTACGATCTAATCATGTGCATGTATTAGGAGAATTCTAAATGCAAATTATTTGTTGATAAGAGAAAAAAGAATAAGGACAGTGAGCCCTGGAAACAGTACAAGGTCAGAAGGAAGAGTGCTGCTGCTTACTGTATTGCCAACACACCTCTTCCTGTACCACACGAGGTTTTCCTGAGGCCCTCCAATCTAAGGTTTGACCAGATCCAACCATATGAGCTCTGCTTAGCTCACTGGTCAAGGTGGTATGATCCCAAGCTTGCCATCTGTGTGTTATCCTTCTACCAAAAGCCATGAAACGCTCAAGCAATACTCTAAGCTTTGTTCTTTTGTAGGAAAAATTATTTTACTCAGAGCCAATTTTCAGCTCAGACCTCTCCTCCCAGGGCACAGCAGTGATGGATGTTGGCCAACCCAGCTCTATAAGAATATAATTTAATGTATGCCAAGAGGCTAAGTGAACCTTAAACAAAGAAAGAACACTGCTGCATCCTGCAAGGAGATGAGAAATTCAAATGTGCTTGCCCTTGGTTTATAAAAGCCTAACTACATTTGAAGGTGCCTAATGCTGACAGTAGGATGCTGCAGGTATCTGGAGTGCAAACTGTGGATTATTATCATCAATATCTAACCAAGTTGTTAGGCCCTAGAGAATTAAGCCTAGTGCAGTTATGTTAAGACAGATCAAGGAAAGAAGTTAACAAAAGTTTCTGGGTAGTTCCTGAACAGAACAGAACTAGAAATATGGCTCAAGCAAGGGGCAATCCCTACGTACTTGCTTAAGTTGCAAAATAAAGTAAGTGAAAGGCTGCACCTGTGATGAGAACAGCTAGTTTGAAAACTGATAAGGTAACTCCCTGTTTCTGTTCTCACCCTGATCTTAACGAACTGTCTCTGCCCTCTGTTTGTT